TTTAAAAAAAAAAAAAAAAAAAAATTAGAAGAGACTCAAGATTGAAATTAAATGAAAACAAAAAAATATTTCAAATACACAAAGCTTTTTTCAAACAAAAAAAGAAAACAAAAAAAATACAAAAAAAGCACGTCTTAAAACTGCATTGTAAAAACATTGACATAATTATCGTAATAATTACTGAAAAATTATTATTAACTAGCAACATAATAAAAATTTCCAAATATATTTATAATTACAAAAAAAAAATATATATATCTATATATATAACAAACCCAGTATATATGTATATTTATATACTTTGTTGTGGGGAAAAAAGGCACATCGAATAAAAGACATTAACGAAATAATAATTAAAACATACAGCAGGAAATAATATATATATATGTATGTATATATATCAACATTCTCTGCTGGCATCCATCCACTGCCAAATTTATTATCGAACCAATCGAATCCTATCGAATCGAATCGAATCGAATCGAATCGGATCGTAGAAGGAATTGCTAAAAAGCTCTTAGGAAAAATATCAAATTTGCACATAAACGAGATATTTTTTTGGATTTTTTTTTTTTAAATCCAAATTAAAATAAAAATAGAAAAATAAAAAGTAAAAAGGAACGTTTGATTATATACGATTGATTAGGAAAAAAATCGTGTTTTTTTTTTTATAATTAATTATCGTTAAAAATAATTTGAATAAATCATATAAACCATTGTTCTTTTTTTTTTTTTTTTTACTTAAATATAAAATTAACTAATCTTTCTTTTTCTCATTTGTTTTTTACATAAAAAAAAAAGTAAAGGATAAAAAATTACGACTACTGCTATACGAGTGTGTCGGCATTAATTAAAAGATTAAAAATCAAATTTTCCATTTATTATTATACTTATATATATATGTTGGTACACGCATATAAAATTGTTAATTAATTTTAAAATATAATTAAAAAAAAAAAATACAAACGGATTTAAAAAACATTATATTTTACTCTAAATCTCTATTATTAATAATTCGATAATTAAAATTATTTCCACGATCCAATCGATGATAATTGAATAAAAAAAAATATATATATATATAAAAAAAGAATTTGATAAAAAATTAATAATTCGTATAAAAATAAAAATAAAATATACAATGTTAAATATAAATCGCGAATTACGATGGATCTCGATTAGGACAACGTTCAAGAACACTTTTTAAAGCATCTAAGAACATCAACAGTCAACAGCTAGTATATTTATTATATATTGTATATATATATATACATATATAATATATATAATAAGAGCTATACACTGGCACTTCCTTCGTAAAGAACACAACGAAATAATAATTGAAATAAACAAATTCTTTTCTTACCTTTCCCAATGGTGTAGATGGTTGTCCTGTTGGTGCTGGATCTTTTATATAAATGTTCCAAGTAGCTACACTGTTTATTGCTTTATCAGCTGCATAACACCTCCATAAACATTGTATTAACATTGCGGCAGCTGGTATTTGTCGATTGAAATGTTTTTGACGTTGTTTTTGTTGTACTTTTAACGCGAAACCGGAACCAAGTATACCCTAAACAAAATTAATATTATTATTCATTATATTTAATAATTATTTCTATATTAATTCGTTTTTATTTTAAGTCGACATTTTCTTTTTTTTTTTTTTTTAATTTTGAACAGATGAATTTTTCTTTCTATGTGTGTAGATGTTTTTTCTATCGGTGTTTACTTTTTGGTTTTTGTTTTTCTTTTTTGATTTTTTTAATTAACTCACGGCTGGAAGTGCGAAGAAGGATATGGCGAATACGCTGAAACACGATGCAACGATTTTTCCCATCCACGTTTGTGGTACGGTGTCACCATAACCGATTGTTGTCACTGTGATCTAAAAAAAAAAAAAAGGAAGAATACAAAAAAAGAAAGAAAATTAAATTACGATCAAAAAATATCCTATTTTAAACATTGTCTATCTTCAAACAAATCATATTTAGCATTTCGCATTGATTTATTATCCTATATGTATAAATAATAATTAAAACACGTTTAGTATTAAAACAAAAAAAGAAAATAAAACGAAAAAGTATTAAAAGAAATTTTAAATAAAATAAAAAAATAATATTTTCACGCGAAATGTTTTTTGAAAAAAAAAAAAAAAAAAAAAACAGGAAACCATTTATAATTGAATTTTATTTATAAGATTAATTAATTTTTTTTTTTTCGTTCAAATAAA